AAGAGAGAGATTTTATAAAGTACTTAAATTTAGTTTAGTAAAAGGGGAGTTAAAAATTCAAGAGGGGGATAGGAGACTATTGATAATTAGCTTACGTTAGCTTATGATTGTCAAATGTTATACCCTGTATTTTGCTCTGGGAAGTGGGGGGGGGAGAATGAGGGGAAGGGGAGGGTTGGAAGGGGAGCAGGGAGGGAGAAGGGGAAATGTTTGTAAAATTTTTTAAAACTTTTCAATAAAAAAACCAAACAAAAACCTCTTACCGGTACTTAATTCAAATGACAGTTTTCCATAATTGCTATCTTAATCTCTTCTTAGGTACATTTTAAATACAGATATTTAATCAGTAAATCAAGAAATGCCTAGTGGTAGTTTTCTACCTAGACAACTACCTATCATTTATTTGATCTGTGGATCAGATAAAAAATCACTGGGATTACCTGCCATGACTGAATATTTGAGATCCTCTTTCCAAGCCTCATCATGGTTGGTCGTGCTCCAGATCCATGCATTGCATGTAATGCGTGTGCCACAGCATAAATGGCATTGTAGATATTGTAACTTTCACCTTCCATGCTTGTTTCAAAAATGTAAGAAGGTAAACTTTGTAAATTCTCCCTTCCTGTACATTGTTTCTTCCCCTTTGGAAAGATCCTGCCTGGTTTGTGGATCCTGCAGCCAAACAACATTTCCCAACATAATAGGAGAAAGATGTCTCCTTGTGGCTTCAAGGGGTCTAAAGACAGGAGGAAATGACTGAATTCTGAGACATCCCCAGTGTGGGGCCTAAAATGCAAAGCCCCATGGAAGGGCTTTACTACTTTTGATACGCCTTGATTCCCCACCACACTAAGTTTCCAATGGGAAGTTAAGATCCAAACTTTCCGAAATGATGTCTTTCTCAAATGTTCATAGAGACTCATTGCCACCTGTACATTTTTAATACTATTGGGGTCTCCAAATAGAACAATCACTTCAGCTTTAGACCAAGTCTCCGAAATATGTAGTATTTTCAAGATTGGAGTTTTAAGAAAATTCAATTTCAACTTTTCAGTGAAGGCCAGGCAGATCTCCTTCTCCTGGAGCATTGGCGTCAGAGTTGAGATGAAACGTTCTCCTCTGTCATTCTCAGGGGCTACCAGCCCAACCCAGTTCCATTGGAAATACAGGAGCAGCTGCACTAAAGCCACATACTGAGCAAATTCACTGGGATTAATCCAGAAGAAGGAAGGATAAACTCTTCTCTCTCCCTGAGTGAACTCATAGCCAACACCTAGCTGGAGAAAGTGAGTTTCTTGATAGAGTAAATTTTAATGGTCACCATTATGTGGATTGTTGCCCAACCTGGATCACTTTGAGTGACAAGCTTAATTTTCTGGCTTTGTTAGGAAGAAGGATTACATATTAGGAAGAAGAGGTTATGTATTTTGCCTGGTGATATTGTGTCAAAAGCCAAGGGAATGTCAAATTAATACAGAGAATATACTAACTACACTACTTTTATAAAGAATAGATTAGGAAGGAATTCCTCTTGGCAAATACCACATTTCAAAATAGCTCATTATCTATCACTTTTGGCTTCTATAAAAACATATCTCGACACAAAAATATAAATATAGGTCCCCCAAACCCCTTTTCCACCTTTAGCTTCACTGTGTGCTTTGTTGTTTGTCTACCCCATACTCTATCCAATGAGGCCCTCTTACCTGTGGGACCTTGAAGATGCTGAAGATGGAGGCCATCTGCCTTGAGGATCTGGGGTTGAGATCTCCGATGACAGAGAGCAGAGGATGCTGCCTGTCACATTTGTAACCTGGAATCATTTGGCCTCTTGTGGAGAGAAGGGAGAGGCTGTTTGAGGAAATCTCCATCTGAGTCTGAGAATTGCTATAGATGTGGAAACCAAGGGTGATGTTGGGGAGGAGAACCAGATCCTTGTTGACCTCTGTGACTGCAAATACCAATGCTACGAACTGCTGGTAGTTCTTGGGTATGACTCTATAGTGAGAAAATCATCAGGGAAATTTTAAGGAAAGCTTGTGTGTGCTGGTGTCATATTTAAAAAAGTCCTTTGTAAGAGGAATTCCCAAATTCCTTTGGGTTGTATTGGCTTTCTTGGCAGCTGCAGCATACGGCTGGCTCATAATTAAGTGATTGTCCACTAGGACCCCAAGATCCCTCTCACAGTTACTTCTATTGAGCAATGTACCACATATAAGGTATCTGTGCATTTTGTTTTTCTAAATGTAGAACCTTGCTTTTTTCACTGTTGAATTTCATTTTGTTAGATAGCCCCCAATATTCAAGTCTGTCCAGATCCTTCTGTATCTTGAGCCTATCTTCGGGAGTGTTGGCTATTCCTGCCAGCTTAGTGTCATCTGCAAATTTGATGAGTTCCCCATCTATCCCCTCGTCCAAGTCATTGATGAAGATATTGAAGAGAACTGGAAAGATTGAGAATTCTAGCCTATTTTATGAGTTCTTTATTGAGAAAAGCACAAACATCTGAACTACGCCAGGGCATTGCAAACATCACTAGAACAAGTATTTGTGAAAAGAGTCCTTGAACAAACCAAATAATTATTTATCTGTTTCCCCTTTAAGTGAAACTTACAAAATATTCTCCCGAAATGAAGATGGGTCTTTTTTAAAGGATTGGAAGTTGAATTTATGTACAGTTCCCAGGGGAAAATTCCCACCAATAATGACATCACCAGGCCTGTAAAAGTCTCTCATAGTGTGTAAAGTGTTTGTCAACACACATCCAGTTTGTATCTTCTTAGCAGAAGTTGGAGGCAGGAGCCAGAAGAAAAGCAGCAGGAGGAGGAGAGGCAGCCCAGTCATTCTTCTCACCTTTCCTCCTCGATCAGAAATCAAAAGGGTGTTTTGTGTGTTCAGAGGTTGAATTGCAGGGAGCCCTTGAAATCTCAGCAGAGCTTTAGCACAAGAGAGATAGTCTGTGCCACCTGGATGGCCCCCAAAGCAAATTTATATTCAACGATGCTTCCTGTTACCTGTGTATGGTCTGTGACCAAAGAGGAAACTAAGGCCATACAAGTCTCACCAAAACTTGAAGTTGCCTCTTCACAACACAAAGCAAGGTGACATGTTCTGCTCCTAACGGGAGAACTCCGAATATATAATTTAAAGCAGGTTTTATGTCGGAAGATCTTCATGGGTAGAAATCCATAGGGGATACATTAGAAATTACCATTCTCCTGATAATTACAAGGAAAAACAATTTTCCTATGTACTGAGCAATACACCAGATAAAGAAAAATGATTTGGGGACTCTTGTTGTTAATCCACAGATCAGATGCAGTTGAGAGTCAAGGTGAAGTTGGGTATTTGAGTTATGTGAAACTGAGAAAGGAGTTTGGCCTCCTCCATAGTTTGCTTGGATAGTATAAGTCTTCATGGGGAATGGTGGCCCTTGACAATCAGTTGTACCCTAGTAAGTCTGGGCAATCATACCAACACTTGGATGGAATAAGTGGTTTATAAATACCAACATGGCAGGGAATGAAATTAAACACTAACTTCTCCCATAGAACTTAAAAAAGAGAAACTTCCTCACAGGGAGGACAATTAACCAATGGAACAGCTTTTCTTCAGACGTTGTGGGTGCTTCATCACTGGAGGTTTTGAAGAAGAGACTGGAGAGTCACTTGTCTGAAATGTTGTAGGATCTCATGCTTGAGTGGGGGGGGAGGGGGCTGGCCTAGATGATCTTTAAGGTCCCTTCCACCTCTATTCTGATTTTGATCATCAGCCCTTTTCCTTCTGTTGAATCATTTCTATGTTTCTACCCCTATTTGCAGACCTTATCATTGTTCCCTTCATTTTCCCATCTGTTATAAAGACTGAATTGGTCCAGACAGTCACTGGGACACAGAGATTGTGCATCTGTCTGACAAGGGCTTCCTTAAAGCTGTTCATTCCATTTCTTGCTTCTTGTTCATTCCATTTCCCCATAAATCATAACCATCTTGGTGTTGTGTATATTACCTTCCAAATAGTTACCCATAGTGAGGATGTATATCAAATCTATGAACATTTATTGCAAATCATTTGAGTTCTCAGAGACCACAGTGTCCACTGTATATAAGAGTAAACAGACATTTGCATGCCCAAATAACCAGTCATTAAACATGTCCTGTATTCTTATCTGTAAGTTCATTAAATAAGCAAGAGAATATGACACAACCATATCTTTCTTACTACTCACAATACATTGCATTTAACTTCACCCTTCTTTCCCTCCCTCCCTCCCTCCTTCCTTCCTCCCACCTTCTTTCCTTCCTTTCTTCCTTCCTTCCTTCCATCCACCCACCCATCCACCTACCTATCTTCCTTCTTCGTAATATTTGGGAAATATCAAGAAGAGAGCAAGAGCAGAAAAATATTTATCAATATGAATTTCACATGAAATTATTTATTAATAAAGTATGTTTCTCAATTAACATAATAGAGAATAAAACAATATGGTTCATTTCAATGCTAGAATTAAAGAAAAAACCCTCTAATAGTCAATTGAAAGAAAAAATCCAGTAGGAAATTCAGCAAAGCCTCAGGAATCAGTGGAAGGGAACAAGCTGAAAAACACAGAGTGAAACAAACCCAACATATTCTTAAATATGCTTTTGATTATAATTAATTAAATGGGAAATTATCATTTTGGAAACTAATATCCAGATATACACTATCAATGTTTATTATAATGTTGATCTTTGGGACAACTAGCATTAATGAAAAAAGTGGGTGATTGTTGCAGATTAACAGACATTCTGAGATTACTCACATCACTTGATTTCCAATTGTTTAAGGGACAAGCCCACTTCTGATTAAATGAGATCAAATTGAAAAATAACCAAGATCAAAATGAATACTCCCAATCCCTACATAAGTGGGTGTGGAATGAGGCATTTAATGGGTTTTTATGTTCTGGTTTTTAATGTTGTAATCCAGCTGGAGTCACCTGTGTGTCAATTGGATGTCAATATAAATGTTTCATATTGATAATCAGAGATTATAATCAGAGATTCTTGTGCCTCATTATATTCTCTCTACAATTCAGATTGGGTTTAAATAGGATAATGTAGCATTTGGGGAAAAAGATGCAAGCCAAGAGACCAGCCCCAGAGGCCAAGATGGAGAAGATCTCCACGGCCACCATGGACTTCCCTTTGGTGCTCAGGTAGGTGGGGAGGAAAGTGATCCAAACACTGCAAAAGACCAGCATGCTAAAAGTAATGAACTTGGCTTCATTAAAGCTGTCAGGCAATTTCCTAGCCAAGAAGGCCACAGTGAAACTGATGAGGGCCAGAACACCCATGTAGGAGAGGACAGTGTAAAACATGAAAGCTGAACCTTCATTACATTCCAAGATGGCCTCTCCTACTAAAGAGTGGAAGTCAACATTGGGAAATGGAGGGGAGGTTACCAGCCAGGTGGCACAAAGAAGTGCTTGGACCAGGGGACAGACTAAGACAATGGAGTTGGTCAGAGATTTTCCTAAGAGTTTCCTTGCCTTGTTCCCTGGCTTGGTGGCCATGAAGGCCAGAACCACCATGACAGTTTTTGCCAAGATGGAGGAAACTGCAAGGGAAAACAGAATAGCAAAGGAAGTTTGTCGGAAGAGACAGGTGAGCTTCCCTGGTCGACCAATGAAGAGGAAGGAGCAGAGGAAGCAGAGCAGGAGGGAGACCAGGAGGATGTAGGTGAGATTTCTGTTGTTGGCCTTGACAATTGGTGTGTTGTGATTTTTCTGGAAAATTAGCAGAACTGCAGATGTGGTCACAGAGAGGAAAAGAGTGAGAGATGCTAAAGAGTATCCCAGGGTGTCTTGATAGGAAAGGAAATGGATCTTCTTGGCAATGCAGTGGTCCTTGTTGTTGTTGGGATATTGGTTTTCTGGGCAGGGGTCACAGCGAGCTGCATCTGAAATCAAAAGTCAGTGTGAATTTCATGGTGAATCAACAAGGGCAAATCATCCATCCAAATTGACAATGCTGAATTAGCCAGAAAAACTGGCTCAACATCTTTCCTTTATGCTTCGAATCCACCCATTCAAACTTTTTTGCAGGGAAGGGTTAGCAGACATAGGTAGATGTACCTGCTCTGTGTCAGACAGGTCCATAAATTTCCTGGGAGTTTGAGTGTTCTGATAGAAGAGGCAGGTCGTTAATTAAGATTAAAGCTAGAATCTCACATCCCATTCTTTCCCAGAAAGATTGGTGTCTGGTTTTCCTGATGGGATGTATAAGTAGGAGTGGAAAGCCTAGTAGGGGTCCCATGAATTTTGCCCCAAAACCAACTGTCAATCCTGAAGCTGACCTGACCAGAGCCATCTTGACTGTTTCAAAGTTGCCACACTGGAGCTGAGGAATAGGGAGGCAGGATTTTAGATAGCTGGGATTTTGTAGCCAAAACAAAATACTTTCTCTTCGGAACCAAGGATATTCTCACAGAATATATTCAGAGGAAGGTGGAGTGATGTCACCAGGCAACAAGATAGCAATATAATTGGACCATGTGACTGGTTGTTTTGAGAAAGTGACAAACTTTTACTTTTAATTAGGTGAAAACTGTGGGAATCTTCAGTGTCGGTTTTCACCAGATCTGTTCCAATATGATATATCCAATAAAGCTACTCTTTGAGGAATCTACCTGCCTTGGAGTTTTGCTTGATATGGGTGGATTACTCGGAACCCTGTAACCAACCTGTATTAAATTTATGAGGAGCAAGAAAAGAGGCCTGTGGAGGAGTACAGTTAAGATTCATGAACTGAGAGGGTCTGCTGAAAAGGATGAATATGCTGAAGCATGTTAATCCTGCCAAAATTAATATTTTCCACTGGTTTCCTTGATCCTGGAAGAGCTACATTTAAAGCGTGTCTACCTGTCTCATTAGAAATGGTCCCTTCTGGACAAGGGGCACATTGGTAGCAGCACACCTGTTTGCCCTCTGGAACGCTTCTTTTCTCTCCTGCATGGCACCTTTTCCTGCCACACCTGGCAAAGGGCACCTTCTAAAAAAGAGAAGAGAGATTCTGTAGGTGGCCTCAGCAAAGAATATTCTTCAGTTATTCATTTGTACATTGCTCTTTCCATCATTAGAACGTCTTCCAAAAAAATGGTTTACCAGAAATCAGGATAAGCTCCAGAGGGAGTCAGGCCAATGCAATCCTGGCCCACCAACGGATGCTGGAGATTGGAAGTGGGACCTCAAAATGCAAAGGAAGACTTGTGACATGGAGCTACAGCTTTTCTAAAAGAAAGAACTGTGGGGATCCAACTGAATGGAAACGGTCCATGAAAACCATTCTTGCTTGCTTCAATAGTGTTTTAGGTTTCAAGCAGGAATTCTTCCTAACCTATCCTATCCTGGACTTTTCAGAAGTCAAATCTCAAATGTGTTCAACTCAAAAGCTTGTTTTTTCATCAAATCCCTGAATTTAACTGTGAAAAGGGTGTTATGCAACTCCTGGAGTGAATAAATCCTTTGCTGAATTTATAACATTTCCTTCCAGCTCACCTTTGTCACCCAGATGATTGCATCGGAGTTAATGGTGAAAACTCGTCCCGGGGAAGCCGTGGAATCTATTTGCCCAACTTTCATGGGGACAAAAGATTGATTGGGGAGGAAAAGCCAGTTGAGAAGATCATAACGAGTAGACACCAAACCCCTTTCTGAGAAGGAGACTTCCTCTCCAGCACTGTTGTTGAACTTGATGTTCCTCAGATGGGAAAGAATCTGAAAAAAAAAAAAAGACACCTGGAATAATTGGCTGAACTCCACACATAGGACATCCTGGTTTCTATCATAATCAGCCTAGGAGATGGGTCTATATCTGAGAAGCTAAATGAGTTCCCTTGATGGAGATCTAAGTAATCAGAAGTAACATCAAATATTCAACTTCAATGACAACACATTTTCTTTATCATTGGACATTAGTATCATGGCTTCTTCAATTCCAGTCTTACAAGAATGATAGCTACATATAAACATTTTAATTCCATATTCTAAATTACATTGTGTAGTTTTGTTTTGTGATACTTGGCAAGTTACATTTTTAATTTTATTTGAGTCCATGAGAAATGCATTTAAAGAATGATTAAATAATTAAATTGACAGGGTCCTTGGAGCTATCTGAGGGTGGTTGTTTTCTTGCAGATGTTTTATGGCCTAAAATGGATAACATTGATAGTGATATCACTCCCTTCTAGCATTGATAATGCTCTTAGAGCACCAAGACTCTTCATTTCAACCTCTAATATTCTCCTTTATTGGTAAATACTTTCCATCATAACTTTGCAAGCCAGACTTTCTCTAGCTGATAGTCAAAGAGAGCAGAATGAAGAAGTAGATCTGACCAAGAAGGACCACATGGAAAATTTGTTACTTCACTGTCCAGAAAGGAATAATTTATCCTTTGATGTTGAAATTTTAGATCAGGAACCCATTAGGACCATGTTGAGTTCTTCTTCATATGCTGAGGTTGACAGAGACTTAACACAACAAACAAAGCAGTACAAGAAACAACATACTATAAAAATGGGGTGGACTCACAAAGAATTCTAAGACACAACAGTAAAATGAATTGAGTGTCTTTTTACAGATTGGATTCAGGCTACCTACTGAGAGAAAATGAAGAGATTCTACAAAAATTCCTGTCTAGGACTTCAACTGACCTGTTGAAGCATCTTGCGGAAATGCACCCAGATTGTCATCATGGTCTGTGATGACCACTTCTCCTTGAAGTGGTTACACCTAATTCTCAGGCAACCACTGATGTCCTTCCAGGAACTTCTAGGAAGCTCTTTGCTCTTATGAACAATTGGTTTGGTTTAATTCACTTTTTCCTCCATCTATCCCTTTTCAACAAAAACCTCTCACTTAATTCAAATGACAGGGTTTATTGTTAAACCCTGTCATATATATTATATATAAACCCTATATATATTAAATATTTTGTTGCAATATTTTCAGGATCAGACTCAATAATATTAGTAAGAGTTAAAGGTTTAAATATATTTCCTTTTATTTACAATAGGCATTCTATATTCACTGAATATTCACAGATAGAAGCAAGGAAAAGGGTGTAGGTGGCTCCTTATATATACAATGGGTGGAGCTATAAGTGGGAGTGGTGAATTATGAATACATTAAGAAGTGAAGAATAAGTTAACCCCTGATACCCCATTCATATATTATTTACACATTAGAGAATAAGGCATTTACATCTGACAAATCCCCCTCTAAATGCCGATTCGTTATACAACACCAATTACACTCAGATTCAGGACAATACAATACATATAACTTAGAAGTTAAATATTTGTGTTGCTTAGAAGGTAAAGGCTTTGTCAATATGTCAGCTAATTGTTCTGAGGTATCACAATGCACTGCTTTAATAAATCCATCCTGAGATAATTGTCTCACATGTTTAAATTTTATATCTATATGTCTGGACCTTTGTCCAATAGCATCAGATCTAGATATTTCAATGGCTGCTTTATTATCTTCATGCATAACAAAAGGCAAAACAGGTTTTTTCCAAACATCTGAAATTAAATCATTAAACCATACAAGGTTATTTGCAGCTTTGGATAAACAAACATATTCTGCCTCTGTCGTTGAAGTGGCCACTAGTTCTTGTTTACCAGTGTACCAGTAAACTGGACAGTCATTTAAGAGAAATATATAACCAGATGTACTTTTTCTACATGAGGTGTCTCCAGCCCAGTCTGCATCTGCATAACATGTAAGCTTTGGTTCTTTATTGTCTTTAGGTTCTAATATTAAGCAAAAGTCTAGTGTACTTTTCAGATATCTTAAAATTCTTTTAACAGCTTCCCAGTGATACATCGTTGGTTTGCTGACATGTCTGGATAATAGATTGAGTGGTAAGGCGATATCTGGTCTAGTCCAATTAGATATATAAAGAAGTGAACCTATGATTGATCTATAAAATGTGTTATCCTTGAATTCGGGGGAAGATTCATCAGTATTTCTTAGAAAATCAGTTTGCATAGGAGTATCACAAGGTTTGGCATTGTTTAAATTGCATTTATTTAAAAGTTCTACAATCTTATCTCTCTGAGTAAGTTTGAATCCCCTTCTAGTCTTATTAATTTGGACACCAAGATATTTGTTTACTTTACCTAGAGATTTTAACGAGAAATGTTCATTTAGTTTGGTTACAAAGGTTTCTCTTCTCTCTTTATGTTTTCCTATGTATAAAATGTCATCCACATAAATCAATACAAATTCAATGTAATCATCATCCTTTTTGACAAAAAAGCAGTTATCAGCAGTAGTAGCGTTGAAGTCCATGGTTCTAAGTACTTTCACTAAACAATCATACCATCGTTTACCAGATTGTTTTAACCCGTATAAACTCTTGTTTAACAACCAAATTTCATTTTTGTTTGTGTATTGACTGTGGGGTGCTCTTACGTATATTTCTTTATCTAGTTTAGCGTGTAGATACGCAGTCTGTATGTCGTATTGAAATACATCAAGGTTGAGTGCTGATGCTACCACTAGAGCTGTTTTGACACTCTCTGTTCTTACTGTGGGGGAATACGTGTCAGTATAGTCCTCCGGATATTTCTGTGCATAACCTTGTGCAACTAGTCTAGCTTTGTATAGAGTATTGCCTCCCTCTAAGTTCTTAATTTTATATATCCACCTGGTACCAATAATTGTTTTATCCTTAGGTGCAATTGCAGGTGTAAATACATTTAATCCTTGTAAACTTTCCATCTCTTTTTTCATCGCTAATTCCCATTTTTCCTTTTCTTCACGAGGGAGTTTTAACACTTCCTCATATGTATTGGGTGTTGTTGGCTCACCATCCATATGCATTATGTAATCCTTGTATTTATTTGGCATTTGATTTCTGGTGTTTCTAATGGTTTTTTCAGGTTTACTATCGTTATCATGCAAATATCTTGCTTCCTTTTTTGTTAATGTGTCTGTCTTAATTTTGTGTTGGCTATTTGTCCAAATTTTGGTTTTGTTCTTATTTTTGTTGATATTTTGCTTTTCTATGGTCCCTTCTTCATGAGATTTTGTACCTTTATATTTATTTGGAAATATTTCATTAAGATGTAATTTAGACCAGTTAGCCTGTTCATGGAACACAGCTGTTCTGGAGACTATAAATTTGTTATTGTTATCAATGAATCTGTACCCTTTAGTACCGGTTTCATATCCCATAAATCTGAGTCTTCTGGATACGTTTTCTCCCTTTCTTCTTAATTGTTTAGGTATGTGTACGTCTGCAGTGACTCCAAATATATGCATGTGTGCTAATTTTGGTTTTCTATTATACATCACTTCATATGGTGTCTTATTTACAATGCTGGACCATGTTCTATTTTGTGTGTAATTTGAATAATGTAAGGCTTCTGACCAGAATTGTTTGCTTAAGCCAGCATCTTCCAATGTGCATCTAATCATGGTTTGTAATGTGGAATTTTTCCTCTCTACAATCCCGTTCTGGAACGCAGAAAATGGACTAGATGTGTAATGTAACATTCCTTTGTCTTTTAACCATTGGGAGAATTCTTTAGACATGAATTCGCATCCCCTATCTGTCATAATTTGTTTTATTTTGATGTTGTGTTGTGTTTCTATGCGTTTGTAAAATTAATGTATAAACAAACCCATAGCGGCTATAATCGTCCACTATTGTCAGGAAGTAACGTTTTCTATAAGTGATTGATGGAGTTAATGGACCAACTAAGTCCATGTGTACTAAATCAAAAATTTTGTTAGTTGATCTAGTAGATTTTCTTGGCCTGGGGCTAGTTTTTAGTTTTGTAGATTTACATACTGAGCATTCCAAATAGTTTTCACAATTTTTTATTTTAACACCTTCTGCGTGTTCAGTAATTTTTTGTACTACAGGAAAACTGGCATGTCCTAACTTCCTATGTAAGATGTGAGCACACTCATCATGAATTGGCTTACCTATTTTTGGTTTTTTTTCATTGTGTGCATCTTTGTGATCATGAGATGTTTTACACTCATCATTGTCACTATTGCTAATATTTTCATCATCTACTTCAGTACAATCTTCCATATTTGAGTCAATGTTATGCAACCATTTTTCCTTAGTTATCAGATAAGGTAGGCCTCCTTTAATCATCACTGTGCCTATATTTATTTTATTTTTCTCCAAAATCGCTTTTCCTTTTGAAAAAACAATGTTAATGTCAGAATCTCTACTTAGTTTTATAGCACTTAGTATGTTATGAGGTATCTCAGGTATTAGCAATACCCCCTCTATTTTTCCTAGACCAGGCAAGGTTACATTCCCTCTACCTAATACTTGCACCTTTTCTTGGTTAGCTACCTTTATTACAAATTTATCTTCTGCAAATGAAGACAATATATTTTTGTTATTAGTGGTGTGATTAGTTGCTCCAGAATCAATAAGCCAATTATTGTTCTCATTTTGCTGTATGTTAGTGTTGTCTTGTTTATTTAGCCCGTTCAGTGAGCCAGATTTTCTATCCTTTGAATTATCTCTGCCCCCTCTATTCTCTTTGTAATTTGGTGGGCTCCTATATCTATGTCTATCTATGGAAGACTGTCTATAATTGTATTTGTTTCTATATTCTGACCTATGCCTTTCTCTTGAAATTTTGGGACAGTCTCTTCTATTGTGTTCCCTGGATCCACAATTGTGACATTTAAATGTTTCATTATATTTTTCTTGGAAAGCTACTTTCCTATATGGTTTGTGTTCTGTGTGATTGCTAGAATGATTCCTTCTTGAATTGTCTTCTGCTATCAGTTTATTGGATAGACTTTCTATGGATAAATATCCTAGATTGATAGTATCTAAATGTGACATAAAATTGTCCCATGATGAATCAAGTGAGTTGATAATAACACTTTTCATTGTTTGGTCTGAAATCACCTCCCCCCTCAAATGCAGCTCAGCTCTTATTTTGTTTAAATATATTAAATGCTCACTTATGGAAACCCCTGGTTTTACCCTAGATGAAAAGAAATCTTTAGACATCCTTGTGGTGGTAGCTACACTGTCACTGTGAAACAAATTAAACATGCATTGAATGATTTCTGAAACAGTCAGATTTGGCTTAATGCTATGATACATTGCAGGAGACACACTAGATATTATTAAGAAAAATGCTCTATGGTGTAAACAATCTATTTTTAGAGTCCAAGGTCTTTTTGGGGGACTAGTGATAAAAAATAATAAGTTTTCCTTCATAAAGACAACCTGGAGCTGTTGATACCATTCTTGCAAATTAACGCCATCAACCCTTAGCTTTGGGAAGTCACTGGGTAAATTTCCAACATTATTGTGTCCATTACTTACAACCTGAGGTAGTCCGTGGTCTCGCAAGTGTAGAAAATTGCAAAACGGCATGGGGATGCTCGCAATGAGTCTGCATGGTCTCCTCGCCAGTTCATGTCTTCCCGGACCGTCTGCGTAGTTTTGCGCATGCGCGTTGTCCATTTCTTCTTTGGAGTCGTCGTGGAAGGTTCTCTCCATTGTGGCTCGCTCGTTCTGCTCCTCTTCAGATGAATCGGTCTCTGGTTCGATTTTGGGAGTCTTGACGACGGCGGCTGCTCTTCCTCTTCCCCTGAGGGCTTTGGTGCTTGCTTCGGTCTGTGGCGTAGGGCGGTACCAGCAGGGCTCTCTGGGTTCGGGCGTCGGCGTCCTCGTAGTCAGGATGGGAGCGGG